AAGGTGTTTCATGTTTTTTGTTTACATACGTTCTTTTTTTTGTTACGTACGTTTAAATTCTCCTCGTGTGTGTCGAACCACACGTGGCCCTACCCCTGAGGTAGTACCTGACGTTTGCAAGCATCAAAGTCGAATCCCAGCGATTGGTCTTGCTGCTGCACTCTTAGTTGGCCAGCCACTTCTCCACCTGACTGTTATCAGTCCCGCAGAAGGGGCCTGGGCCTCGGAGGTGGGTCACGACAATGTGACTGGGTGCATTCGGCATAGCGGGGGCTGGATCAGCAGAATTGTCTGCCGGCATGATGGACTGTCCAAGAATACGCCCGCTGCGAAGTTCCGTTGTGTGCTCCTGATGTGCCCAGCACCTCCACCAAAGATGTTACGGGGAGATGACAGAAAACGAGTGTATTTACAATATTCATAGTAACAATACTGCGGTTAAAAACAACCACGATGGCCAGGACAGGCACCACCTAGTCTTCTAACTTCTTCGGTTTCTAGGTAAGCGGCACATAACAATACTGTCAGTGTCGTGGTTTTGGGACATTAACCCCCCCCCGCCACTCAAAAAACGCAATTGAAGAGCTCGTTACTCCTGACGGTAAGGCGAAACAAAAGTCGCTCATGGTGGAATGGCACAATGTTACTGCACAACATTGATGAGTATCTGATTGTGACTTGTGAGGGCCACACCTGGTGGATCCAAGAGACTAGTGGGATTAGTGGGCACCATTCTTTAACATCAGCTTTGACAAGGCTGTATGCATGATACTGAGGTAGTAGTGCAGAGCCAAATGCTTCTGCCTGTGGCTAAGGTGACCAATTGTAAGGTTATGATATTACAGCTAATGCGAGGAGTCGTTCTCGCTTTGGTTCAATCAAAGATGAAGCATCAAGTGCAGCGGTGGCGATGAGCTGCTCCTTCGCATAGATTTAGGTTCACTTTAAAGAATCCCACATGGCCTAATTTGATCCGAAGTCACCCACTGTGGGCCCCGTCGCGGTGGTCTACTGGCTAAAATACTTGGCTGCTGACCCGCAGGCCGTGGCATTGAATCCCGGCTGTGGTGACTACATTTCCGATGGAGGTGGAAATGGTGTAGGCCAGTGTGCCCAGATTTGGGAGCCCGTTAAAGAACCCCAGGTGGTCGAAATTTCCGGAGCCCTCCACTACGGCGTCTCTCATAATCATATGGTGGTTTTGGGACGTTAAACTCCAAATATCATCAGTCGCCCACTGCGGTGTCCTTCACAATCATATCATCGTTTCGCCACATAAAACCCTAGAAATGATGTTTGAAACCAAGTTGGCTCTGTGCCTAGAACTGTCGTGAGCCCAGTTGGTGGGAGGCAGCTGCCATTCAGTGCAGCCTTGCACCAGGCACATTTTTCTCTATGCTGTGGCTCAAAGAATGGGGCCTCTTCTTTGCTCTCTTGGCAGCTGGCTCAACTGCTGGGCGCCCTGTAGGGACCCTCTTGGACCCCCTTGTAAGCCCTGGCCTACGCCTAGCAGTGCTGGTCGGTTGCACCCTTATGTGACGGGCCCGGCGACGTCTTGCTGCAGCGGTAGCCTTGAATGCCAGCATCAGTCCTGTCCCATCGCTGCTGTTCTGAACACGAGCAAGCTCCTCTGCAAGGCCCTTCACGATATCAAGGTAAGCTGGATTGTGTGCATTCATAGAATGCACACGCCGCAACTGGACCTCCAGGAACTCATATGCATGTTCTTGGGCCTGCACCAAAAGTGATGAAAGAAATATACTTCAAGTGTACAGCACACCAACAAGAACTGCACATTTATTTTGCTCCTCTCTAACTGCAGACAACTGCTCGAGAATAAAGTTCAAGCTGAGGAGTCAGTTTAAGTTAAGGTTTTCCTGTCACCTGTTTTGACTATTCTGTTAGTGGAAGTGCTGCTAATACCAACAATTGGTGACCTGTAGTCCCAAACATGGAACAATACGACACCAATAGTGTTGAAATCTTGAAATCGCCCTCAGAATGATGACATCCACCAATATGAAATTGTAAATTCGTGAGTGCGGTGGAGCACAATAATATGCTTACAGGAATAAAAGAAGCCTTGACTACTGTTCAGTAGCATTCCCTATGTTTAATTGAAAAGTACTTCAGGGCCCTTTCAAGGGGCTTGTCCTACCTGGGCAAGTTGGGCTGCATCAGGCACCGACGGTACAGGTGCGAGGTGTGTGGCCTCTTGCGTGCTGGTGCCTTGCATTGCTTGGAGTTCGTCTGGCTCCTCCTGCTGGGCACTGGTACCTGCCGTGGTTCTGGAACTACTGCTGGGCTCCTCCTCTTGGAAGGGTTCGAAAAATATCCTGGGGGGACACTTCTCGCCCAGGGCCAGCTGTCCCAGTTGGTACCGGTCGTCAGTACTCAGTGCCGGAGCATTCGGAAACAGTCCTCCGTACTTTTTCTGCACCAAAGCCTGGTGCTTACAAAATGCACCTTGTTTACCAAAAGACACGTACATAGTCCTATGTCAGCATAGACCTCATAACTGGAGCTGGGGTGGGTCGCACTAGGCACAATGTACTGTCCCTGGCCTACCACTTGGATGGCCTCGGCTGCGTCTTTCGGCATTCTCGACAGCAGCCGCTTGTACAGCAGTTGATGGGCTGCAACACGGCTGTAGGCGTGGCGGAGGATACGGCTTTCAAAGTATTTCTCCCACACCAGAGCCACCGAGTCTACGAGTGCGACTGCATTAAATGCTTCGACTCTGTTCAGGATAATGTCTTTGAGCACGCGTATGGTTGCCTCCGCAAAATTGTTGGTGTTGTGGCCCCTTGTCAACACGTCCAAACGGTAGAGCTGCACCCACTCTTCTTGTCGGCGCAAGAATGTCAGAACTCTAGACACGAAGGCATCGTGTTGTAGGGCCTTCACTTCGGCAGTGGCAGCTTCAAGTTTTTCTGCTGTGTCTGCATACATGACCTGCAGATAGCAGGAAATTTTTCAATGAGGTGCTCGTATTTGGATATTTTCGCTTTTTTTAAACTGCACCATAATACAGATTCATGCTTCACTGTCTGCATTGAAGTCACTTTGTGATCTGCACATGCTTGCCCCAGTTCAAAGGGCCAGTAAACAACCCCCAAGGACCAAAAATCAAAAATATGTGCACCTTTGCTCCGTGAACATGCTGCCTCCTCAAGGATTTTGCAAATACTTTATTAAGGAATTCACAGGGGTTAGAACATTGGTTTCAGCTAGTTTCAAATTTTCGTGCGGTCTCGCCACCCTTCTCTTTCAAAGGGAGGAAAAAGCGTAGCCTGCCGTCGTGACTGGTTTAACCCAATCGATGAGCTGCGTGCTTCGTCAAGTCGCCGATCGGCGAATTTGTGTCACTGCTCATGAAAGGAGGATTGGTCAGGTGTAGGAAAGGAGCGCGGGAATTGTTTTTCGAAATGGAGGCTGTGCACGGTGCGCAGCGCTGTAATCTGGAAATTGATTGCCGCGGTCTGCTCTACGAATTGCCAAGCGGTGGTCCATAAAAGTTGATGCTGCTGACATTTTCTGTACGCTTGTGCGAATAGGGAATTTTAGGTTCGAAGTGAATTCGAAGCGAATAGTGATTTTGGTCGAATAATATCTAATTGAATTGTAATAGTATATATATTGCATATTATAAACAAAAAGGGGCATATTTGTCATGGCCAAACAAACTTGCACAGATCTTTAAAAATTGAAACAGGGCCTATGCAAAGGCCATTTTTTTTTCATCAAAGGAAGTGGCAACAACTTCGAATTGTAGCAGCATTCGACTTTTGGTGCAGTCCAAGTAATAGCCAGTAAAATATGCTGCGTTTCAATTTTTTTTTACTTAGAGCATATAAATCTGTGTAACGAGCTTTTAAACTGAAAACAAAAAAAAGCAGAATCGATGTCATTGTAATTCTTTATTAAAACCTTGAAGTGGGGCTTTGCTGCAGTGCGAATTTCTCTTGATTACGTGTTTTCACGGCTTAGCACCAATTCACTGCAGTGAAACCACTTTTACATGTGGTCTAATATGCTTGGGTAAGTGCTTTCATGGTTTAGCATCCCTCCACTGCCGTGAAACCACCTTTACAGAGTGTTACATGTGGACTAATATACACCTATTTGTTCGTTTGAATAATTCAAAATTTTCAGCAATTTAACTTCGATTCAAATCAAATTTGATTACTGCATTATTCATTTGAATATTCAAAGCATTTGAATATTTGTACAAGCCTCATTTTATGGCATTTGAAATCATTTGAACCCACCAGACGTTTACTGGTGTACTTTTTAAATGTGATTAAAATGGACACAAATACTGTCTGCGTTGTCATCTGCAGATTAGGGCATCTTGTGCGGCATACACTCCAAATTATATCACGAGGAAGTGAAGGTAATTCATGCACTAGCCTTGCAGGACAGCTGTGCTTTTTATACACCTATGCTGCTATGCCAGCGCCATCATCTTGGAAACATGAAACGAATGCTAAAATAGCAGACCATTGTGAATTTGTTCACTAAGTGCAGATGCAACGAATGCACCTCGTATCTTAGAGCTAGAGTTACAACTAGATTGCAAAAAAACTTGCCAGTTGGAAGGCAGACATGAATCGTCTCCTCTGGTCTTTGTCGACAGAGTTGTGAGATGTCGTCAGCCAGCGCCACTCCGCTTGTGCCACATGAAAATGGCACAAAAGCTGCCTTGCTGACGGCCATGTCTGCTGCAGGGCGGCCTTCTCAGCACTCGAATTGTCACTCATGAGTACCTGTGGGGCCTGGCAGACAATGCAATAAAGTTGAAAGCTGTCCATAGTTATAAAGGCATAGAAAAGTCGTGGATGTTGTGAGAACAATTTTCGTGGGTGAATCTAAAAATATAAATAGCCTTGGCTAATAATTTTCTATTGAATTTGAGTTCGCTATTTGCTTTTTAATAAACTATAGAGAGCAGTAACATTTATGGTAAGTTTCAAGGTTAAAGACAAGTGTAAGTTTGCATCTGTTACCAGTATTTTAAAAAGAGGAGAGAGTTCGGGCAATAGGTCCACGAACTCACTCATTGGCCAACTCACACGGACTCACTCAGACTCACATTATGAGTCTGAGTCTGGATAAGCACTATTTTTGTGAGTCGAAGTCCGAGAGAGTTTGTTTGAAGAAAATTTTAGTGAGTGTGAGTCCGAGCGGGTTCGGCTAAGCAAAATTTTGGAGAGTCTGAGTCCGAGTGTGTCTAAAGCGCAAAATATATTTCTTGAGTGAGTTCCACTTTCTTTTGCCGACTTGAGGTTCCACCTAGACATTTTCAGCATTACTCAGCCTTACCTAGATTCACATTTATACTCACATCTATTCATAGGTATTCCAAAGCAGTGTTTTTCATACACCGTTTCAATATTTATTAATTAGACGTTTGAATTATACAAGGGGGCGCCTTGGCAGTCCCAAACTAAGTCTTCCAGGGAATTTCTCGACTATTATATTTTAACATCTCCTCCAAGAAAAATGACTTTACTGGTTTGGAAGCACTCGGAACTCGTTTTCGAAGATGCTGTGTGAAGCGGCACCAAGAAGAGCACCGATTACATCAGATATTGGTGTTAAAGAGCATTAACACCACAATCAAAGAAGCTAATTCCATTCTGATGAACTCATGAGTTGACTCAGTAGTACTCACTCACACTCAGGTCCAGCCGTGAGTCTGAGGCTGAGTGTGTGCGGTTGAGTAATGTTTTGGTGAGTTTGAGTCTGAGTGAGTCCGGCTTAAGAACCTGTATGGGCCTGTACAAAGGCTTACAGTATTGTTAAATAAATAAATATGTGTGAACGAGAGTTTGGGTGAGTTCAGCTCAGAAAAAATTTTGTGAGTCTGAGTACAATGAGTGGAAAGTTCAATATACAAGGTGCATTTGATTTACCTGCACCAATTGAAACCGGTTCACGGCTGTGCATGCAAAGTTCAGAAATTGTGAAGCGCAAGTTCAGTGGTGCAGGCACAGTGCAACACCCAAAACGAATGACGATGTGCTGATGCAGGCCTTATTTCTGTTCACTTAGTTAACACCGTTAAGGTAACACTGACCGATGGCCAAATGATTATGCATACAGTTTATGAGGCACAAACTTCTTAGCAAAAAACACATCGTGTTAGTGGAGGCAGGTACGGTGCCTACACCAAAGTATTGCGTCGTCTGCTCAGCTGCACGCGCGGCTGCACCAAGCCGGCACTGTCAGTGTGGGAGGGGCGGGAAAATCGTGAACCAGCGCTGTACCTCTTCTGCACCTTTAGAAATGAATGGCAGGGTTCAGAGGTTGTCAATGCTGCACCGCTGAAACGAATGGCAAGACGCAGAACATCGTGAACTGGTTCACGTGGTGCAGGCAAATTGAACAGACTGATATATTTCATGAATGAGCCTGAGAGAGTTCCACAAGCTATGCCGACCTATGGTGTGGGCACATGTTTTAGCTTGAGAAACGCTTATCTAGCCTGAGTGAAATGCACAGAACAGGCACACTTCACCCACAATGATGGTGTCACATGGGAAAGATTAGAATTCATAGCCAAATGTGTGATGATGATGATGAGAGCATGTAGGTGATTTCTATAAATGCCCACAAGAACCACAAAGGCCCTCTCCTGTGGCTTAGTCTGTGCAGTATTGTTTACTTTTGTTTTTGTCACAAATAATTTCTGTCCTGGTACAACTTTTTTTTTTTTGGTCCAGCTTAATGGAGCTATTTGCTATTGTGTCATTACTTACACTATGCGAATTCAGAAATGTCTTCAAAAGTAGTTACAGAAGTTCCATAGGAAACTACAGGTTTTCCCGCTCACTTTGATCCAAGTGGCAGCTTAGATAATCTGCACGCCATTGAAATAATCTGAGCGCCAACCTCTTTAATCCATGTGCCAAACATTTAATCCAAGCCCCAACATATTTAATCCAAGTGCCAACTCAATCAGGCCGCGTGCCAGTGATTTTAATCCAAGTGCCACCATGTTTAATCCAATCGCCAATGGCTTGAATTCAGGTGCCAGTCAGTTCAATCCATGCACAAAAAGCACAATACGGGCGTAAAAATGGCAATGCATTTGAAATGCAGTTTCTACAATATAAAATACTATAGTCGGAAAGTAGAATAAATCATTATTATTAGTATTCGCCGCTAGTATTCAAGGAAACAAAAATTCCGTGGTTCGCTTGAGCCATGTTTGCAGTGCTTATACTGTGCTATGTACAAGTTTGTAGATGAGTGCTTGGCCCGGGTGGAGTCATTTTAATAGCAATGAAAGAAAAAAGCAAGGATATTTTGTGTTCGTCAACAAAGCTCATAATTAGATTTGTATAGCATTACATGTCTGGGCCAGGTCATGTAATGCGGCAGACATAATATTGTTATTGGAGTGCCGGGATGCATAACAAGATATGAAGAACTTGACTGTGGGCAGTGATGAGTCAGAAACAGGTACATGCTCAATAAATTAGGGCAGAGCAAATTAGAAATCATTTAAGAGGCTTTCGTCCTGCAGGGCACATAAGACGCAAACTCGTGACCCTGATGTGGAAAACAGAAGTCATATTTTATATTCATATTAGTTATCTTTTATTCAAACAAAATTATGTGTATTCGATGAACGCGTGTTTCAAGCAAACACGCTTCAGGAATACTTGCGTTGTCTTTTACATGAAAACATAAGTTTCTCTTTTGATGCTTTTATAAAAAAACTTAATTCCAAATGAACCGAAAGAAATGCAACTTGAGTTTTAAATGGTTGTTTCTGATTTCAAGAACGAATGAATATCAAATCAAATCAAACTTTATTTATTTACCAGACAAAAACTGGAGGGTCGCCAAGGCTAAAAGCCGCGAGAAGGGCTTGACAAAGGCCCTGGTGACCATCTGTCTATCACCGTTATCACCGGGCTGAGCAGACGACTGCGAATGCCTCAGCGAATAAGTAGCCGAAAGCCGTCTGCTTAGCAGACGACACGAATCTATGCATATGGGATGGTGTACATGGTTAGCCAGAATAATGCAGTAGCGACGAACCATACACTGACTCTATGAGCAAATACTCTTAGTACCCATAAATGCAATTAACACACACTGTTCTTTTTTATTTTGAAGCTATGACACCAAAGTGTTAGGAGGAAATAGCAATGCGCACTTCATTTCATAAGCGCAAGCATGTATAGGTGAAGGAAAAGTTCTTCCTGTGACTTCATGTTTACGTTATTTTCACATTTATACTGTATAAAGCGGCAAACTAGTGTTTCTAGTGCGTGGATTAAAATGACTGGCACTTTAATTAGTCATTGGCAATTGGATTAAACTCACTGACATGCGGCCTCATTGAGTTGGCGCTTGGATTAAATGTTTGGCACATGGATTAAATAGCTCGGCGCTCAGATTATTTCAATGGCAAGCAGATTATTTAAGCTGGCACTTGGATTAAAGTGGGTGGGAAAACCTGTAGTTCAGATACTGAATTATATTCAAGCCACGCATTGAGCACTGGCCTCTACATTTTCTTCACTAGTTGCTCTTGTAAGTTTGTGTTAACAATGCTATTGTAGAGAATTGGGATGGCATTAATATATAGCAATTCACTGTGCACAAAATTTACAATTTTGTGCCTACTTCCTTACTTACTGGTTGGCCTCCAAAGCAGAGAGGATGGGCTTCCTTGAGGAGCTTGAAAGCAGCCAGGTAGCCATCGGTGCTCTGCTCCTTGTGAATTAGTACTGCGAGTGGGACAGCACCAGCCTTGGTCGCAGTCAGCACCACTGTTACTGTGCATTTGGTGGTGTCGCATGAGGCAGTCGAATCAACAAAGACGATCTCCCTTGCCAGCTCGAGGTTATGAGCTCGTCGCATGATGGGGGTAACCACGACCACTGCCCAGCAGGCACTGCTGCCACCACGAGTCACACTTATGTGAGTGCCTGGAAAGTTATGTGGAATGGCAGGTGGTCTTTTAAGAACAATCTTCAGGCGCATGACTTTTAATGGCCATTTTGCTCTCTGTACAGTGCAAAGTGTTCCTGCAAAGTAAGTTTTAGTTCTAGCTTCACCTTGCCTTTTAAAAACGTCCTGCAGGCTTTTTTCAAGCGATCATAACATTACCTCATTGTCGGAGTTTGTTGCCTCACAAATCAATTGCAGCAAAAATATTTTGACTCCTTGAAGTACGAGTGGAGTTCAGGTTTACTGCAATCTTTTTGTACTTCATTTATTGATTCTCCACGAGCACACTGTCAGCTACACAGCGATTAATGACAAAGGGAAAGAGGCTACATCAGCGAGCATTGTTACATATTAGTATCAGATAGAGCAGGGAAGATGAGCAAAATCAAGAGAGCATGGACCCGTGCAGGTGCCTCCGTCATTTGTTGAAACGAGAGAAAGCAATTTTTAGCTGACTTTGGTCATTTATTTATTGCAAATTCCAAGCCGCGTGCTGCACTATAATATTTGGCCCGTGTGTTCTCGGGAGCCTCTTCTACCAAATGGCAACATTTTCTGGCCATGCTCAAAAAGTGTTGCAGGGCCTCTTTAAGACAAAACTGACAGCGGCAGCGTTTACTCGACAAACACAAAGAAAAATGTCAGGGTGCGAGCAGGGCCCCGCCGCGGTGGTCTAGTGGCTAAGGTACTCGGCTGCTGACTTGCACGTCGCGGAATCGAATTCTGGCTGCGGCGGCTGCATTTTCGATGCAGGCAAAAATGTTGTAGGCTAGTGTGCTCAGATTAGGGTGCACGTTAAAGAACCCCAGGTGGTTGGAATTTGCGAAGCCCTCCACTACAGCGTCTCTCATAATCATATGGTGGTTTTGGGACGTCAAACTCCACATATTAATCTATCAGGGTGCCAGCAGGAGTCGAACCCAAGCATAATGCGAGGCAATCAAGAATTCTACCACAGAGCCATGCTAGATCTCGGAACTATTTTTCAAATAGACCGTAATGTTCGTAAAACGTCAAATGTGGTTGCAGTGCTGGCTATGCAATCTCATAAAGATTACATATTTACTCCTATGCTACAACCTTTATGTTGTGTAAACGTGCATTGTAGTTAGGTGCCATGCGCAGAAGTGGATTTATGTACCAGTGTCCAGGGCTACCATCCTTGCAAGCACAAACCCTTCATATCAGCTTATCACTTCTGGTGTTGCTAATACTCATGTGACTGATGGCACCATTGTGCAAGTGCAAACAACTGGTTATAGAAACATCTGCAACTGTTCAATATGCATCTGTTCCTGCAACATTTGTACATATATTTAGCATCATTTCATAACATGTCGCTGAATAAAAAAAATTACAACACGGCCACCTTCCCTCCGCATGCTTCACATAATGTGAAGTCCCAAAGTATATGGGATCTGCTGAATTTTTTTTGTTAGTTTCGCATCTGTCAAATAAGGCGTTCTCTGTTTTGGCTGTACTTCTCAGTCTTCAATGGTATGGCGCCAGGACCAGGATAAGATAGGCTTAAGATACCTGACCGTTTTCCTGAACAGTGAGAGCAATCGGTGCCACCATGCTAGGCGGAATGTGCCGCCATGCGAACGAACAGGAAGGAAGTGGAGCAAGCTGTTCAAAGAAACATATCAAGCCGTTCATCCAGTGATCAATATATGTCATAATTCAGTGTTCGTGCGGCTGTGTGTCTGTGGTACAGACTGGGCGGTGCATCAGTTATAGGCCTCGCAAACGTGTCAATTCATGTAGAGATTGATGTTTGTAGTAATTTAGCCACACATTGTGCTAGGCATGGCTGCAGCATGCCTTCGTCTGTCGGATGTTACAGTCCTAAAATGCTGTTGTCAAAGGCTCGCACGGGAGATATTTGAGGCTTTTGCCATCCACCAAAGGGGCCATAGATGTGTGAGCACTCCGCTACTTAATCTGTTTGAAAAAAAAAATCAATTTGATGTGACGCACATGACTGAAGATTTGTAATCTAACCATTTTTTTTTTGTATCCGTGTATCCTTGATTTTGTTGATTAAAATTTCAGTTGGCAGTCAGCGCCCATTTTTGTATTGCCTTCCTTTGTCCCGTTCTTGCGCTTTACGCTTCTTTTCTTTTTTTTGTTTTCTCCGAAGTTTAAATGGCCTCTCTAGATTGACCTGTGTGGCTGACACTCTGTACAGCTCTGGTTGCTGCTGCTGTCATGCTTTCCGAAATTTCAACACTTCCTTTAATGACATTTACAACTAATCCTTTCAAGTAACAGCCAAGAAGGACAAAATGCCTTTGACAAAGATAAATACTTACATTGAAACATAGGCCGGCCAGTATGAGGCATCTCATCTCTTTTTTTCATGTTTTATATTTCACAATTTGTTTCCATGGGCTGACTCGCGAGCTTCATTAATGCTGGTTCCCTGTGAATTGATGCTGATGCAACGTGTCAGTTGGTCTAGATTGCCAACTTATGCCTTGAACCAAAAACCTTTTAAAAATAAGTCAGTGTCACTTTCAAAGAAAATAACGTTTTTGTTATTTCTTTTATCTGGTCATGTATATGTTCTTCTTCCCCCCTTTCTTTTTCATCATTTTGGTTTTTCTATCAATCTGATCTGGTTTTCTGGTTTTGCCACTTGAAACTCCGACCACCTGTGCACCTCTTGGGCTTTAAGTTTGCCATACTCAAGGTTACTCCAAGTATTTGATGTTTCTGATTTCACAGGAACATAAATTCATCAAAAAGTTGTGGGTTTCAAAGTAAATACATCATTTCTTACTTCCCAAGAAAATAATGGTAAATGTATGCTCTGACTGGCAGGTGCAGTGTACAACCAAGCCACTGGCATGAATCACAAGTAGATGAGGCTTTGTGCTGAATGTGTCTGTAATTTGTCATAGCTACAACTTCACCATTCACACATTGAAAATGAGTGCTTATGAATACTGTTTTACGTAGAGGACAGATTCTCCCACAAGTTTAGACATACCTTGAGCTGCATACAAAGAAGCCTTTTCCTCCAGTTTCAGCACTGGGTCGATGTAAGTACCACCAAAACAGGCCTCCCTCCAAACGCTGTGCCAGTGGTAGACCGTTCTTTGAGGCGGATTTAAAGCCGCATTGGCCAGCTTTGCAGGGCCATCATCTTCCATAGAGAGCTTGCTCTCATGCAGTCTCCTTGCTTCACTAGGGGTCATGCCTTCGCTGAAGTAACGGAGGAATGTTTGCCTTGTTGACCTGGTGCCGCGAAGTAGCCGCAGAGCATCCGCTGAGTCGGTGCTGTGGCTGTGCCTGTCGTCGATTCGTATCACTGCAGAAAGAGGCACCTCTCTCTGCAGATACTTGTCCCTGCGTTTGGTGTCAAACGTGGCCAGCTTTATTTTTACATCAACTTTGGCCATGCACTTGGCATTGCGTGGGCCACTCTTCTTGTTCTTTGTGTGATGCTGGCAGCGCCAAATTTTGTGAAAAGCCATCCTGCATGACACACATGGGTGCAAATGGGGATAAGCTCTTTCATAATGCACTGCTTTGTAAAATATAATTATCTAAGTAAGAATAACTAGAAGTACAAAACTCTTTTCACAGTTGCACTGCTGTAATAGCTATGCTTTTATCACATTTGCAGCTGGCTGCTCGTATGTTGTATTCTGTGCAATGGCATGGCACCGTAGGATTGTATGAGCACCATATGAGTGGTTGTCGCACATCTCACTGGGGCACCCCAGAGGTGCTTCAGCCGCCATGCCATCATGAAGATGATGGTAGTGTTGAACAATCGTTTGGCTCGGTGCACGCCAGGAAAGGACTCTGTCTGTACAGACTGTTGACTGAAAGCAACAAAGAATTATTCAATACTCACAATAACCTTTAACTTCAGCAATTATGACATATTTTGGACTCCACAACTTAGTGAATATTTTTTTGCCTGACTTGACAATGTGTTAAATAAGTTGTAGTTGGTATTGTTTGCGACGGTCCCCTCTTCCCCTCCCGAGCCAGAAAAAAAAAAGAGGCATCTAGAATTTGTGGCAGAATTGCATAGAGACGGGCACTATATGAACGTGACATTAACATCAAGTTGGGTATTTATACCAAGAGCCTGCTACAACACATGGCAAGTTCAGCTACCACCCTTTTCAGCATCGCTGGTTAGGCCAATACTTGTAGCTTTTGCAGAGCCTGCTAGGTGAAATGACACATCATGTTGCAATCTATATGCACCAAGCAAAGTTTTATGGTAGGGCACATGCTTCGGTGCTGAAGTTGCCACATTCAAGATACTGCAGTGTGCGCATGTCATTGCAGTAGTGCAAGACCGGTTGCAGCAGGCAAAGTTTCCGAACAGATGATGGTTATACATGAATATTGTGAGCTCAACCAAGAGCTAGGTGGCTTTTGTCAACTGCCTCTTCATTATCATTAGCTCAAGCAAATAATCTCTGTTGAGTATTCAGTTATTGAGTTAAGATGGCTTGTTGGGCAAGTTGGTATATAGTCTTGGTGGGAACCCCAGCAGCATCAACAGAATGCAGAAGCAACCAAGGCAAAAAAAGACAGGGACAGGAAGGACGCTAGGCTGCCAAGTGGCGTGTCTACTGCACTGTTGGTATTCCCACCTAGATGTTATTGGCCTGGAGAGATTTTAGGACTATGCAGCTCTTATCTGTGTTGTTCAATGAGCACTAAAATTTACAGCAGTAACTTGGAGACCCTGCTACATTTTTCAAGTAGTCATCTAATGGCTATTTAAAGGAGTTCATTGTCGTACGAATCGACTGCCGCAACAATTTTCAGTGTCAAGTATGGCCAGAGTCAATGGGGTTGGTCGCGTTTTTAAGTGCTTTCTGTACTAGCGAGCGGGCTGAAAGCTACACAAGCATGTATAAAAAAAACGCAAGATTAGGCACACCTGTTCGCCAGCGCGCGTCGCCTTTTTTTTTTCTGGGAATGCTAAGCTACTTGCAGCGCGAGCGAGCGAACATCGCCGCATTTTGTGACTGGCCGCGGTAACATTGCCCATCACGGGGTGTCAAATCAGCCAGTGGCCGTCCACTTTGAGTTTATGGCACAGTTAGGTTGACGGCATCATTGGAGGGAGAGAAGAGCGAACGATTTAAAGGTGTTTAAGAATTTTAAATTCTGTTTCATGTGCTGCACTATGTTTGGCTCACATGCCCTG